CTCTTCCAACTGCCATTTACCTCTGCGTCAACTGCACTTCCTCTCATCTAGCCTAGGTATCAACAGCTGCATCCCTGCCCCATGCTGGAGCCAAGAGGAGGGCTGTGCTTTTCCTAAGGTGGAAAGAAATGCTTGCGGAGTCTGTTAAGAACAAGATATAACTCCCTTGATATTCACCAAACTAAACTAATTTGTAATTCTATTTCAGTCAACATTTTTAGATTAAACAATGATTTGTATCTGTCTTGGGCTAGAAGAAGTTAAATACTTTTAGGTCTTGTTGTAAAATGTCCAGCTGAAACATAACAAATAGGACAAAACAAGTGGGAAAAATAAGATAAATTATATAATCCAGGACAAGGCATTATATTAATAGGCACAAATAAATATATCTCTCCATATAGTTTAGACCTAAATTTAGAAATAAAAGTATAGTGGTAGCATACACTGGAGCCATAACCCATGGAGGCTATAGGCATGATTAAATAATAACAACCGGTTGATACAACACTTCATTACTGTCACATTTCATAAACAAGATATCTACATAAATATATTTACCACATAAGAAAATGTGCCATTGCATTACCATAATATAAATTAAATCTCTTAAAAACATTTTCCAAGAGCTTCCATGATATTCCAGTTCAGAATTTAAAGGAAGCCATGGAATGACTTTATCACTGATATTTTTTAAACTCCTTTATCTCTCAAGGTATGTATTAAGCCATCATGTTTCAACTGCAATTATTATTGATGCATATTATATTTGAATTTTAACATTAATTTTCAGTTTCACTAGGCAATATGAAGCTTTTGATCAGCACTGGTGGATGTCCAAATCAGCAAGGATGCAGAAAAATACTGATGAGAATTTGAACCCAAATGTATTATTGATCGGATACACTGACTCTATTCCTGTAAACCCCTCTTTAATTAATGTGAAAGTCTATATAGAGTTTTTCATCATTAAATATTTTGTTGCATCACTTGGCATATAACCTACACAAATGCTTTAGTAATTCTTACACAATGCATATCTTAACATAGCAGATTCCTCCCAGAAAAAGATATTATAAGAATAAACATCCAGGTATAATCAAAACAGGTTTTAGCTCCTCCAAAATAGTCTTCTTTAATATCTGAATTATCTGACATTCTCTTTAACATGGAAAATTCTAAGGAAACTGATGACTTAAGGTTAGGAGGAAAGAATTTTCAGTAAAGAATTTCAAAGGAACACTGCAATGTGAAGTATAAAGTGATTAAGTGCTCTACTTTAATAAAGAAGTTATTTCGGGGAGGAGGATTCAACTTTTACTGCATCTATCTGGAGTCCAGATTCTGGACAAAGAAGTGTTTCATTATGGTAATTATCCAGATAGTTCAGACAAATCTTTTATGAGACAGGGAGAGTGTAAGGTTGGCATGGTTTCCTGCTTGGATTATTTAGATGATCTGTCTTTGTTGATAAAATTATTTGAAGAAATTGTGCAAGCCTACACTTGACTTCTTTTAGAAAATCATCTTTGGATGGGCCTCTACTCTACTTGGGTCAACCTGGTTATGAAATTTCAAACAGAATATCATTAGCGAAGAATATTTCAAATCCATCTGGAAATTAGTGATTCAAAGGGAAAAATCAGATGATCTGATTTAAGTAGCCCCTGAATCATTAAATTGTCCCCTTGACTACATTCAAGAATTTGTTTCTGCTAATTAGCAACTTTTTCTTCAGAGATATTGGATATATTTCTGCTCCCTATCAGGTTAAGAAAAAATTGATGTTTATTTTGAAGAACTCACTTGACATAAGTTAATATCTAAATTAACTAAGATTGCATTATCAGGTTTTTAAATTTCCTGTCATAATGGACTTCTCAAATCATTTAAGATTTCATTTAAGATTCTCCCATCCTATCAAAAATCCCACACATTTTTCACCTGCAAAACAAACACAGAACATTTTCTGAGACATGCTTAAAATATTAAGTTCTACTTGTTTAAAAAGTAACAACTTATCAAATTGGTAAATAAGAGAGTGTGTGAAATAATCCTAAGAAAATACACTTTTTTTTTTTTTGCAGAAAATTGAACTCTATAAATGTCATTTGAGAATGCACAGGCAATAAGTTTGAGAAATTCCTTATGTATATGTCCTTTCCAAGTTATACACATACTTAATTAAAATCCTATAATGATACATCATGCACAATCCATTTTCATATTATAACATCAGTCACATTTTATAATTTCTTTTGCTTCTGAAACCTAAAACTTCCTTATATTAACACTGCAAATTCAAGACAATCCCTATAATGATGTAAGACATTCATGAAAAGAGGCCTGTTTGAGTTTTAAACAAATAAAGAGGAAGTCTGGCAACTTATAGAATAAGCCAGCTTAGGTTTTAAGATAGCATGTGCTGCTTATAGAGGAATGATGCTAGGAAATGAATAAAGTGAGAACAAAGATGCATGGTATGTATGCGTGACTTTTTTTTCCCACAAGGTGGTGATTAAACTAAACAGAATTCTGCATAATGGACACATAAAATATCAATAAGTGCCAAGCACAGATAACCCCTATTAAAATAAAGCAAATGAACATAGCCATAGATGACATTTTAATTACCAAAGAACTTCAAAAGCATCCAAGGAAAGTATTGGGTGTGTGTGTGTTGGGGTGGGGGGACGTTAATGTTGAAGTCTACAGAATAAATGACACATTACAATCTCATTTTCATGGAAACAATAACCACCCAAACACAAAACCAATGACCAAAAACCATTCGCCATCTAACCTATTCCTGTGCAACTCAGTCTACAGAAGTAGCTTGTTTAAAGATAATTCTAAAAGATCAAGTTTTAAGAAGACAGATATATAGTGCTTACATTGAATTCCCAACAACTTTCTGCACACATCAAGACAGAGTCCTTAACTTCATCTATTTTACTATTATATATACATGTCCATGTTGTAACCCATGGACAAGTTAACATGAATACTCTCATTTTCCTCCTTCAACACACACACACAAAAATCCATTTCATTTTGGATATACTCAGAAGTTCTTGCAAGAAATTCCCTATAGAACTGACTTCTCACATCTTGCATCAGAACAGAAAAGCACAGTTACCTTCTCATGTACTTGATATTTTCTTTCTCCATCAAATTCATATCTAGGACATTTGGCACATGTCTGGGACAATGACAGGCTCTTTCTACTTTATGAGATTATTTAACATATGACTTGAAAGAGTTTATGTACATACCTATTCTTTCTGGGCAAGGAGAAAGCATACTTAAAAAGATAAGCTTTAACAACAGTAACACTTTCAAACTGACTTTGGAATTCTTGGCAGTTACACACCACTCATTGCTATCCAAAGCATACGCCACACACACACACACACACACACACACACACACACACACAGAGAGACACACATACAAACAGACACACACACACATACACACAGGACAGTTCTCTCTCTCTGCCAAGCACAGACTTAGGAGATAGGCATAAACTGGAAGGAAGCAAAGGAAAAGTCAGTCTCCCTCCACCTGCTGCCTAAAGTGGGGGTGCTTTGGGCTGACTGGCAGACAGAAGCCTGGGACACAGCCTCAGCAGTAGTCTGCCAATATCCTTAAGAAAAATAAACAAACACATACCAACTTGCCCCCAGCCCCCACCCCAAGAACTCACATGGCAGGGCTCAAAACAACAACAGCCCAATTCCCATTAGCCCAGACAATCCTATTAACCAGGACAACCATAAATTCATAAACCTCTCCAACCCTCGAGTAAGCATTGTGGTGTGGAGCTGTACAGACACACATAGACACAGAGGAAATTTGCACCTGTCTTTCTTGACACAACACACCTGTCAGGCCCTGCCCATGCGCACTCTGCTAATAGATTTCTGCCTACCTAGTTTAGGAAAGGAAATGAGTTCTTTTTTTCTTTCTTTTTTTTTTCTTTTTAAATAAGGGAGGGCATGAGTGGAAAAGAGAACAGGAGAAGGGACTCTTCTAGCCTTGACTTTGCGAGGAGGCCACCCTGTGCTTGCTCTGTTTTTATAAGCTCAAGGAGACAGCACAGACCTTCTCGGAAAAATAAAAACAAGCAGGTGAGTTTCCAGCCTTCCCCCAGGCAGAGTAGCCTTCTGTGTTGCCAAGAACAGCAGTTTCACACTCCAACCTGCCTCCTTGGGCTATTTAAGACTAAGCACCACCCCTACTTCCAGTTCTGCTCTCTGTCTGCCTGGAGGGCTCTCAATTTCCCAAGAAGCTGGGAAGGGGCCAGAGACCTGGGAGTCTGTGGAAAGCTACTTACTCCTCCTTTACCATCCCCACCCCCCATCACTCCACCAACCTTCGGCTTTAGCAGGAGTAACGGGCTGGCACACCAGAAGAACCAACAACTTGCTAAACTGGACTTTGGGTGATGTCTCCCCCCGCCCCCTGCGTCCCCCTCCTGGTCTGCTCAGGCAAGATAGCAGCTCTTCCCCCCTCTTCCCGCCCTCCTCACTAGTCTTCCCAGTAACAATTACTCTCACCTCTCCTGTCCTCCCTCCCCAGTCCTCCTAACTGGGGCAAAACGGTAGGTACCACCCAGATGAGACCAGACCGAAGCTGCCCAACACCATAGTCTGCCAGCGATGGCTGGGAGATTCATCGCCTCCCATTTCTGCTGCCCAAGAACCCCTTACCCCTACCCGGACCGCGATCCTTCGGTCCTCCTCGTGCGGGTGCCCCAATCTCACCGCCACGCGAACCCCCGAGTCTCCCGGTGCCGCCTTACCCTACTCAACTTGACCCAGCCCTGGGTCCAGGAGCTCGGGAGAGGGGCGTCGCGCGCGTTTCCCGGGACCCATCACCGCACCGCTCCAAGCCCGATTTCCACAATTCGGCTTCGACAGCTTTTTGAGAGGAAAGTAACAGAGCGCCCCCCAACCTCCCTCTCTCCTCCTCCCAGCTCCCGGTCCTCTGCTGGGGTTAAAAAGGAGAAGTGAAAGGTATGCAAATGACAAGCAAATTGGAAGAGCCGGGAAGAAAGGCAGCTATAATAAACAAGACAAAGAGAAAGGACGAGGGGACCGGCCCCGGAGTTTTAGCCGGGGAAGATCAGAAGAATGGGGTTTGGCGAAAAGCGGGGATCTGCACGAACAAAAAAGCGACCCGGTCCCCCTCGCGGTCCTCTCTCCTGAGAAGAGAGAGCAGGAGAAAGAAGGAAAGGGAGCAAACGCCTCCTCACACCCCAGAAACAGTACACAAAAGGTGACAAGATCAGCGACAAGTCCAGCAACATCAGCCTCCCCCCCATCGCCACCACCACCCCCAGTCACCAGCAGGAAAGAGAAAGAAATAAAAGCCAAGCGGATCACTTACTCTCAGGAACTGGGAGGAGCGGAGCGCTGAGTTCACGGAGGCTCCCGCTTAGAAACTGTTTAGAGGCTATTTTATTATGATTCATTTAAATAACACCATTTTCTCCTGGGGGGAAAAATGTTTACACGGGTCTGAGTAATGGGAGGCTCTTTTCTTTCCTTCTCATTCAAGAACAAGCCAGTGCAAGTGATTCTGGAAAAGGGGAGGGACTCACGAGGGGAAGAAGAGGATACTTACGCGGTGCAGGGAGCAGTGGGACCGAGCCTCTCTCTCTCTCTATCCCTCTCTCTCTCTCTCTCTCTCTCTCTTTTTTTCCCCCGGCAGAGAGAGGAAAACACGCGCGCGCACACACGGTGATATCTTGCGGGTGATGAATATGATAATTGGACAAGAGACGGTGAGTCTGTGCGACAGCGATCGAGCGAGCGGGGCGAGTGGGAGAGGGAGAGGGGAGAGAGAGGCGGGCAGGGAGGGGAGACGAGAGAAGAGGAGCAGGGGAGAGGCGAGGAGAGGGAAGAAGAGGAGAAGAAAAGAAGAGGAGCGAAGGGAAGAGGAGAGAGCAGGAGAGGAGGAGAGAGAAGAGCGTAGGAGAGGAGAGAGCAGCAGAGGAGGAGAGAGGAGAAGGGTAAAGAAGAGAAGAGGAGTGAAGCGGAGAGGGAGCAGGCGGACCCGGCGAGAGCTCTTTTGCGCCGCTCTGCTTTCTCCGGCTGCAATGGTGTATTATTTCAGAGCGCTCCCTCAGCTGAGGGCTCCGCTCCACAACAAGATTTACTTTAAGACACAGCTGAAGGAAACAGGAAGACTGCACGTCACAGTCTATCTGACGTACCCGGCCCCAGCACCCAATCGCGAGGCGCCTTCGGATTCAAGGGGGGATAGCAAGGCAAGAGAACTTGGGAGAAAAAAAAAATATAAAAGGGGTGGGGGTGAGGGGCTGGGAAGAGAGGAGGGGAGAGGGGCCCTGAGCTCCCCCTCCCCGGCCTCCATCTCCGGCCCCCACCCCCACCCCCGCCCTGCCACTGCTTCGGGACGACTGGATCGCCGCGCCTGGGCCGGAGCGAGCCATCTGCGGGCTCTATGCAAAGCGGGAGACGGCGCGAGCGGCGCCCGGCTCACACTCGCTCTTCCAGGACGCAGGTCCTTTTTTTTTTTTTCTTTTTCTTTTTCTTTTTTCATTTCCCAGATACAGCTGATCGAGTTCGCCGAGTGGTCGAGCGAGTGAGCGCTCCTCCGACTTGGGTGGAGGAAGGCACGGAAAAGTATACGGGAGAAAAAGTGGGGGTTTTAGGGGTGGGGGTGGCATAGGAGGAGGGAGTGGGGGGGAGATCTGCAAATCATTCCACTTCTTAAACGATCATAGGTAGTGTCAAGGATACGTGTCACCCTTGGTTCCTTTTAAAGGGGAGGTGGACAATAAAATACAGGTAGGTTTGGTATTAAAATAATAGGTGCCAGAGGTTTCACATCGGGTCCGCTGCATCTGTTATTAGACGAAGATCAACATTGGCTGAGTCCCAGTTAAGCTCCAGTCCAAATTATTAGGAAGAGAAATATTTACCCTTGGTTACCTCTGACATTATTTGGATTGTAGGTAAAGCAGCCTTTAAAAATATGTATGTTGCAAACATCTGGCGAATACCCTTCACTAATTCACTCACCCCACAAAGACCAAAGAAAGCTGTTCAATACAGGATTTACACAGTTTTGACGCCTGGGCAACAAACTTTAAAGTTTATTAGGCAAGAAATTTCAAACGCTTTAATCTCGGGCTCTAACATAAAGCCCTAGGAAATTTACTTCGGTTTGACATTTCTTGCTTGAAAAATAACCAGCAAAATTTATTTAGATAATGTGGCTCTTAAAGATCTCCTTAGGCTTTGCAAGTTACAAATGCAAGCGAGCCTCCGGCCGCAGCTAGAACGTCCCTTTCACCGGCCACAGTAAACGGCTTTTAATAAAGCAGCCGCGTTTATGACCTAAAGATCCTATAAAAGCTGGGACTTGCAAGAGCTGCGAAGCAGAAACATTCATACACAGTCTATTAGACACTCATTTTTGTAGGTACCAGGAGGACAAGTAGTTTTCGTGTGTCCCTCAAATTTAATTAGATCAAAGGTTGAATCATGCTGTGTCGTGACAACAGGGTATTTATGAGGTGTGTTACAAGTACACTGGCCAAACACTACCAATGTCTTCTGCGACACACACACACACACACACACACACACACATACTCCTTTCTAGGAAATTTAAAATTTCAGCCTCAAATTCACCAAACCGTAAAGAGGATATTAAGCCCTCCCTTGGAATAAGAATAGCGATGTCAGTATATCCGAGTCTATCCCGGCAGGAAACTTTTGGCACGAATTTCAAACAGTGAAAAGAAGAGAAAAAAAAAATCAGGTCGGTCAGGTTAGGTGTCCGCGATAAGAAAAGAGATTGCGGGAGCATCCCCAGCCGCCTTCTTTCCCCTTTTGCCGCCCCACAGACTCCCCCCATGCGTCTATCAGGGAAACAACACAGAGGAGCGCATACACACCACTCACACCTCCAACTATTGACTGTTGTATCAAGTGTTCTAACCGGGATGTGACAGTTTAGTCTGGGAGCAGAAATAACCAACATGCCCATTAGACACAGGATGGAATAATGCTTCTATTGGTTGGGTCCCTTCGAGGTAAGCGGGTGTATTGAGCGGGGAAATTTGGGGTCTGAAAATGGATCAAAGCTACTTCCTTTCTTATTTTTCGTCCTACTGGTTTTCTTTAAGAATCTTGGTTTGTACATATAAGCTAGCGCCAGCCCACAAATAAACTGGTAGGAGTAAGGGCTATATACCTTTCCACACCTTAAAACCATCTGCTCAGTTTGACATTTAAAAGGGCGGAGAGCAGAGGAGGAGGAGGGGGGAGTAGGGGGAAGAAAGGAGGCAGGGACAGAGAAAAAGATTCAAACGCAGAAGAAATGGCTTGTACTTTAGCCCACAAGTTTGTGTCAATTGCACATAGCGCTTGAATGCACGTTTTGCACATACCACGCCCGGGAACTGGCGGCGGGAAAAGTTCCCTGAGAACCCCAGTAAGTCCTGTGTCACGCCGTGGGGAAAGGCAGGCCTGAGTCGAAGTCGGGGTAACCCGCTTGGCGAACAAGGAAGCTTTCCCACCCCCAGCCTCGGCGGCGGAGGCTCCCGGCTGGTGACGCTCTGCCGCGGCGGTTCGCAGCCCGCATTAGGGCGCAGGAGCGGCGAGTTGAAATAGGAGCGCGCGCGACTCTAGGCGAGGGAGATCGGTTCGCAGCCCAGCTCCGTGAGCTGCCTCCGCGCAGCCCTGTCCCCTGTCCTGTCCTCTACTTTCGGGGAGGCGTACAGGCCACACTCCTAACAACCTCTCTTGCTAGAGCTGCGGCACTCTCCTGGGTCTCGGGCTGCCCTGGAGCAAGACTTGAGGCCCGAGCCCCCTATCTCGGGCAACTCCCGCTTTGTTTTCTGATAGGGGAGAAGCCTGGAGACGAGAAGTCGCCTAGATATTGGCTCCATCTCTGAAACCAGCTGCCAAGCCTAGGCTTAAGACAACTCCTCCCTTCGCCCCATTTCCAACACAACCCCAGTAACTTAAAAGTTAACGCAAGTTCTGACCGGTCTTGTAACAAACCCTATCCGTGCAGGTTGCATTTACTTGTTTATCTGAAGGGTGATCTGTGTGTTCTTAGACAAACTCGCAGTTATCACTCGTGCATCTGGTTCTGTGTTGAATACACTTCGCCTTGACATTTCCTCGGTGTATGCTCACGCCTCCTATTCTTTCTTAAAGCCGTTAGGTGGGGGCAGGAGGGAAGACAGTGTGTATAAGTAATTTAAAACCTTACAAACAGCGGTTATCAGATCCTAAACAAACCAATTCTGGGAATTTCAACCAGATTCAGTTGAGAGGCAAACGTGGACGTGGATTTTGGAGAAGGATGCCTAAGGACTTCCCGGTCACCCACCCACCCACCACCACCACCAGCACCACCACCACTATCCGAACCCTGAAGAAGGGAAGAGAGGAAAACCAACCCCAGGGTGCAGGCCTGCCTGCTGCAAGCTTTCCAGAGGCAAAACTGACTGACGGCCTCTCTCTCACTCTCATCTCCTGCGCCCAGTGTGACGCCAAGCCCAACCTGGATTTGTTCTGAATGGGGGGGAAGTGAAATACCACAAGATCAGTAGCAAGTAGCAGCTGCAGCGTTTTCTCTCCTGGGAACCCCACTGCTTAGAAGCCTCCCGAGTGATGTTTGTTTAACCAACAGCTTTCAAAGTAAACAGAAGCCAATCACTCCAAAGAAGTTGAAATATAACCCTTACAAGAATTTGGTTCCAGGGGTGCTGGCAGAAGGAAAGTAAATTTTTAAAATGAGAAAGAACCCACTCCCAAATAAAGAGTCTGCCACATTGCTTTAAGGAGTGCAGAATTGTCATGAAAATATAAATTCATCGAAAGGGCTCATTACAATAAGTTGGCCTCGAAGAAAATCACTCTTCGCCCACAAAGACACACCCGCGGGGATGAGGGGGTTGTCAGTGATTGAAGGGACACACTACTACTTGATTTTATGAAAGTGGGCGAAAACAATCAAAGGGAAGTACATTCCCTGCCCTGGAGTAGAAAAGTGTAGGCTGGGAGCTCTTCGCCGCCAACCCTGGCTTTGCCTCAGGCACCGAACTTTCCAATACCAAGATATTAACAGATGGTGGTGAGCACATGGAGGGCTGCTACTTACATAATCCAGCCACTCCGCCCGGCTGCCCAGAGCCCGGCGAGGAACCCGCCAGGCCGCTCGCGCGCCTTCCGAGGGGTGCTCCCTGACATAACTCGCCTTTCTCCAACCCCACCCAGCTTTTGAGGGTTAGCATTTGGAGTGGCCGTAATTGGAAAAAACCAAAACCAAAACAAAAACACCCAAAACATTGATTTGGCTGTGCTTTGTCTTCTTCAGTCCATAGTAGTGAAGAAGCTGGAGACCCAAAGGCCGAGAGAAACGGAGGGGATGCCTTCGGGGAGAAAGGGGTGCTCTCCCCACGTATCTGGGGGTGCCCGCGAGTGGAATTCACACAATTTACAACACTCGTGCCCACCATCTTTGGTTCGAATCAGCATATCTTTTGCTGTCGCTTAAGTACAAAGGCAGCCTCGGGCCGCAGCCCAAGGGGAGTGGGGTGGGGTGAGAATGTGAGTGTGAAGGGGACGCCTTTGCACGCGGGGGCGCAGTGGGCAAAGTTACGCAAAGCCTCTGGGCACCGCTACACTTCCGAGCTGTGGCAGGGTTTTAAGCGCTCGATTCCGCTCGCGGGGAGTCCCTTTCGGATGTGTGTCCGCCTGCTGCCTTCACACCCTCAGCCGCCTCCCAAGAGGCCCTGTCCCTCCTGGTGTGTCTGTGTACCTCCTCCAGTGTGCCAGGGCACGTGTGATTCCCGAGCCTCCTCCCTGACTGCGACTCTGGGCCGCCGAAACCTGCGAAGAATACGCCTGCGTGTGTTGGAAAAGTTTCGGGTTGGGCGGGAAGGTTGGGAATCTCCTCTCCAGGCACTCGGCGGGAGCGGGGCTTCCTCGCCCGCGGCTTCCTCCCTGTGCCTTCCTCCCTTCCCGACCCGCCCTTCCTAGCCTCAGCCCCGCGCTAGGTGTCGCGGCCTCTCCGACCTGAGAGAGAGAGCGCGAGATGCTGTGGCTGCCGCGGCGCCGCGCTCCGCAGAGGGCGCGCCCCTCCTGCCTGCGCGGCCAAGTGGGGCTCCAGGCCGCCCTGCCAGTCCCTCCTCGCCCCCGGCCCGCGGCACTTGCCTCTTCCCGGGCCACCGCAGGGGCTGCAGCCTTGCTCCGCTAGCCTGGGCTCAGTGCACGCCCGGGACGCAGAGGGCAACCACCTGCTCCCGGCGCGCCGCAGAGCGGGGGAACGTCGTGGCGGCTTGGGGATGTCGGCCGCCGCCAGGCCTGAGCTGCCCCCGCGACCTCCCCTCCCCCGCCTCCCGCCTGTTGCTGCGGGGACAGCCGGTGGACGCACTCGACCTGGGAGAGGGGACTCCCTCTCGGGACCGCGGGAGGGGCGTGCACGTTTGAAGGGATGGAAATCTCCCTTTCTGCCCACCCCCTTTCTTTTGTCAATTACTCTAAGGATGTTTGGCCGTTACTCCCAGCTTCCCTCTCTTTGGTTTTTCACGTCAAGGGTGTGAATTCGGGGGTGCTCCATTTTCAGGGGTTTTGGTGATAGGACTGAAGTTTTCCACATTGTCCATCTTACCAGAAGCTGTTATTCAGGGTGAGGAGTGGGCTAGAAATAAATAGGTGTAGGCCTGACCCAGCGGAAAGAGACAGACGCTCCCAGTTTGGATGCATTTGGAGAGAGAGAAACTGGCAAGTTGCATTTTGTTTAAATTAGAGCAAGATGAAGTTGAAAGCCAGATTTCTATAATTTTTCTGGTAATATTTCTTTTATGAAGTATCTAAGTGTCTGTTTGTCATCATTTTGAGATCAAAAGGAAAATCCATATGCTGTATAGTTTTTCGAAATTGCTATTTAAATATGTTTTAAATGTTTTGTCCAACGTGGAGTAGGCTGCTTGGAGGCAAGGCTGGTGACAGGAACAGCGGGATGGTTTACTGTGGAGTGGTGCTTCCAAAGACCTGGTGAATCATTGGAATCACCGAAGGAGCTTTTTTTTTTTTTAATGTAAAGATTTCTGGGCCCACCCCACCGAGGTAATCAGAAGAAGGACCTGGGAATCTGGGGGTCACCCTGTGTCTTTAATTACTGCTCAGCTGGTTTGTTACTGACTCTGTGACCTTGATTGTGTTACTTAATCTGTTTGAGCCTCAGGTTTTATCTGTGAAGTGGGGATAATATCCAAATCATAGATTTATTGACAAACTTCTACATGACTAAACTTGTTCAGCACATGACTAGTGCTCAATACTTGGAAGGTATATTGCCCACAAATGTGTGATCTGTACACTCAAGCTGACTGACATGTATTCTTATAAGGACCTGTCCCTACCCCCAACGTTTTGGTGAAGCAACTGGACTGTCATGGGATATGTATGTGTATGCACATTTTAGCTCATGCATAGTTGTCACCTTTATATGATTTCCCCTCCTCCGCCTTTTAGGCCATAAAATAAATTAGAATTGGCACATTTGGAAGCTAGGCCCTGTGCTCTTGGACCTAGAACTGTCCATCAGGCCTACTGGCAAAGTGGGGCATTTACCAATCTGAAGTCTGCTTCCTCCTCCACCCCACCCCCGCCTTTTTTGGCTCTTTCACCTTCCTTGCTTTATAGATGGCAAACATTTCCTAAAGAAACCGCTGGTCAGACCAATGAAGCCACAGGACAAAAAGTTATCTTAGAAAGGGAACAACAAGAAGGAAAAAAAGTCAGCATTCCTAGGTAAAACAAAAGCAAATGTAGATCATATGTTATGTGTTTTTACATGTTTGACTCAACAACCTCCCCCAAATCCGTGTAAAGTAAAATACAACCTTTCGTAAAGTTATGTTCAAACCAATGAATACAAGCATATCCCAAGGTGATTAGGGGAGATCCCAGCCCAGGACAGCTGTGAGAAGGGAAAGGAAGCTAGGCAGGAAGGTGCCATGCCTGGCTGTGACTGCAGCAATGGGGGGAAGAAAGCCAAGGAAATGGAATGGGC